CAGGACTGGCAAAAAAAAGAAAAAAGGAATGTATTCATTATCTTGCCCATGTAATTGTAACCCCTCTATACAGTATTTTCACAATTAAAAAAAAGAAATTATAGTGATGAAACTTGGTGAGCTTATGGCAGGGAGATTTTTTAAGCAGACATAAAAGTCCTGACCATAAAATCATTATAAATTTAATATTATTAAGATTAATAAGACTGGGCCAGGCACCAGTGGCTTATGCCTGCTGTAATCCTAGCTGCTCAGGAGGCTGACATCTGAGGATCACAATTTACAGTCAAGCCAGCAGGAAAATCCATGAGACTTGTACCTCCAATAAGCTACTAAATACTAACAAAAGTTGCAAGTAGAGTTGTGGTAGAGTGCTAGCCTTGAACAAAAGAAGCCCCCCACACAAACACAAAAGATTAATAAAACTGAATATCAGAAAACAACTACAAAGAAAGTGGGGGAATGGGGGAAGGGAGAAGTTATGTGTTAGTAAAATATGTTCCTGATAAAGCACAAAGTGTTAGTGCCCTGAATGTAAGGCATTCCTCAATTCTGAAAATATACTATTGGAGACATTGCATGTGAGCTTCTAATTTTAATAAGTATTGATAGAGAGTAAAGAGCAAATGCTGTGGCCGCTCCTCTATACTTGTGTCACTTGGCTTTGTGACTAACAATGAAACTACATCTCATGTTTTCCTATTTTGTTATCATTTATTCATGAAGGTGACAGTTGGCATCCTTTTCAAGTCCCTGTTTCAACCAAAACGTATCTGTAAAAGATCATGTGATAGTTGGCTACTCAGTGAACTATTTTGTAAGTTCACTATTGGTATTTTTATCATTATTATATTAGTGCTGTTCATAATTTCAAAGGACTAGAAAACAATATAATTAGTATACACATTAGAAAACAGTGATAAATTTCTCTTGATTCTTTCTTTCTTTCTTTTTTTCTTTCTTCCTTCCTTTCTTTCTTTCTTCCTTCCTTTCTTTCTTTCTTTCTTGCTTGCTTGCTTGCTTGCTTGCTTGGAGGGGGGAACAGTCCTGGGGTTTGAACTCAGGGCCTTGGGTACTGTCCCTGAGCTTCTTTTACTCAAGACTAGAACTCTACCACTTGAGACACAGAGCCACTTCCAGATTTTTCTGAGTAGTTTATTGAAGATGAGAGTCTCGTGGACTTTTCTGCCTAGCCTGTATTTCCAACTGTGATCCTCCGATCTCAGCCTACTGAAAAGCTAGATTCACAGGCATGAGCCACCAGTACCTAGCTATCTTGATTTCTTGATGACATGATTTGATATTCAGAAACCTTAGAAACTCTAATTAATAAAAAAAAATGGGGGAGAAAAAAGACTGGCATTGGTGGCTCAGGCTTGTAATCCCAGCTACTAGGGAGGCTGAGGTCTGAGGATTGCAGTTCAAAGTCAGCAGGGGAAGGAAAATCCATGAGACTCTTTTCTCCAATTAACCACCAGAAAATGAGAAGTGGAGCTATGGTTCAAAGTGGTAGAGTGCTAGCCTTGGGCAGAAGAGCTCAGGGACATGAGTTTAACCCCCACAATCACCACCACCACCACCAAAAACTTGGGATTTTTGGTTTTGTTTTTGGTGTGGGGGGGGATTTCAACTCTGGGCCTGGGCACTGTCCCTCAGCTCTTCAGCTCAAGGCGAGCATTCTACCACTTGAGCCATAGCACCACTTCCAGTTCTCCAGTGGTTAATTGGCGATAAGAGTCTCAGAACTTTCTTGCCGGGGATTGGCTTTGAACCACTATCTGCTCAGATCTCAGCCTCCTGAGTCGCTAGGGTTACAGGCGTGAGCCACCAGCGCCCAGCTAAAGAGTTCTTCAAACTAAGTTACTGGTTATAGCTTTGGTGCCATCATATAAACAGGCACTATGATTGATTTTTGCCAAGTTAATATTAGAAGAAATGAAGGTGAAGCTATAAAGACAAGGAAAATCGTTACCTTTCTTTTTTAAATTTTTTTTCCTTTAATTAGTTGTACAAAAGGCTTTAATTCAACGTGTCAGGTTGTGAGTATAATACATCTTGATCAGTATCACCTCTTTTGTTATCTTTCTTGATAAAAAAGCTACTTATTAATTATAAACCCTTGAGTACCCCCAGCACAGAGTTATATACAAAAAGCTGCTGTGTCCATTATAATCATTTTTATCTCAGAGCCTTTAGTGGCAAGGTTAGCAAATTCAGTTTCAGGTTAATCTTCCATCCAGAAAACTGACACTTCTTATGAAATTCTCAGCAATCAGCTTGTACTGCTCCAAAGTTTAATCCGCATCAACCCAAGAACAATATAGCGGCAGTAGATCTACTTACACCTTTTCTTTTTCGCCTTTCACTGTGTCTAATTTCCACACAGCCATCCACCACTTAAGAACTACCCCTTCTGTTCTGACTTTACAAATAGCCTCACAATGCCGAACTCTGCCTCTTTCTGAGAGCTGCAGGAAAAAGGATCAGTACATAATTTTGCCACGACTGACAACTGATGACCTATACAAAACAATTAGCTTGGAAGTAAAGCTACATAGAAAATTTGCATAATAGAAGCAAGTCGCCATCAATCATTTGCAATCATGTCTCTTTGCCATATCTATTAATCCTTAAAAGATTTTCAGGGAATGGTTGGATTTCAGCGTTCTTCCCTGTACCATCTGTTCAAGCACATCCCTTAGATTCTTACTGGGTTTTACAGATGCCACTTTTCAAATCAGTAAATCTCCTCAGGACCATCATCTGGCACCCGTTGCTCCCCTGCTTCGGGAGCCTCTTGTCATTACCATAATGCCAGGATCAGAGCAGATGTTCCCTGTTCATTGGTGTATTTCCCTTCCTGAGTAGGATTTTTGAATGCAAATCTTGAGATGGGCAAAGAAAAAAAAAAAAAAGAAAACCACTTTGGGTGAAAGCATTTTCCGCATATGCTTTCTCTCTGCAGGGAAGGCAGCGTCTAGTAGCTCATTTCTGCTCCTCTGAAGCCTTGGTCAGACAGTGCCTTTTGGCTCAGTGTATGAGGTGTAGAAATAGACATCATAACACCCAGGAAAGAACATCAGAAAACTAAAAGAAGTTAGACACATTAGCTCTGTAGTTATAGCTACTCAAGAGACTATGTAGAACACTAGCCTTGAGCAAGAGAGTTCAGGGATAGTGCCCAGGCCCTGAGCTCAAGCCCCAGGACTAAGCACCTTAAACAAACCAACAAAAGAAGTCATATATAACTATTGTTATAAAAGAAACAATTGAAAGCAATTTGGTTTTCTAACATAATCACCCAAAGTGGCTTATTTATTTTTGGTCTTACTAGGGTTTGAACTCGGGGCTTCAAGCTCCCACTGTGCTTGCTTTCTCAACTGGCATTCTACCACTTGAGCTACACCCCCAGCTCAGCTTTTTGCTGGTTCATTTGGAGACAGAGTCTCAAAGACTTTTCTTCCCAAGCTGACTTTGAACTGCTACCTCCACATCTCAGCTTCTTGGATAGCTTGGATTACTGCACTCAAATGGCTATTTTTTTTTCCAAGTGGTTATTTTAAAAATGAGACAAATACTTATGTTCAGTTATTACTCCTCTAAGATCTATGGCTCACTGGACAAGGTCAATTGTAGTGGATAGTGTTGCAGGACTTGAACTCATCACAGCTAACCACATGATAAATGGAGATGGCTAGATACTTGCATGTGTGCTACAAATATTCCTGAAGAAATAGCCAGAAAATAGTAATTTGGGCTGTTTCCTTAGCAATGTGAGACAGATACTTTCCATGGTAAAATGCCTTTATATTATTTTGATTTTTCTTTTTTTTTGTTGGTTGTGGGACTTGAACTCTGGGCCTGGGCATTGCCTCTAGGCTAGCGCTCTACCACTTGAACCACAGCGCCACTTCTGGCTTTTTCTGCTTATGTGGTGCTGAGGAATCAAACCCAGGGCCTCAGGCATGCAAGGCAAGTGCTCTACCACTGAGCAACCTTCCCAGCCCCTTGATTTTTCTTTTAAATCATGAACATGTATCTAAAATGAATTGAATCAAGTCAGTTCCCTGCTTCAAACAAATTCATTCCTCACTTCTGCTCCACTTATCTGCCTTGTTCTTTTGTGCTTACGTACACGAATCCAAACTGAACCCCGTAGCTCCAATCGGTGCTATAACTGCAACTCCTTATTTTCCTCTCCAGCTTTAGCTTTACTCTCAGTCTTAGCGAAAGATGTTCATTTTCACTGATGTTGTGAATGGTGAGGGAACCCTTTTCTGGAAGTCTGACCCCCTTTAAACTAGGCCCTAAGGATTCTCTTGCAACCAGTCAGGGGAAGGGATCTTTTATCTGGAACTAGCTTCCATGTCTTGTAGGAGAATAGAAAGAAGGGGAACATAAGCGGATAAAACCTGCGCTCAGAATAGTTCCATGGGAACCCATGTGGGGACACCTAGGTGATCGCGTGAACGGACAGGAAGGAGACTGTGTATGATCTAAACAGAGACAGAGAGGGACACGGGCAGCAGCGAGGTCAGCTCTGCCAACCCGGTTCATGGAGAGTTTACAGAGGGCCGAGGCTTCCATCTCCGTTACTCAAAGAGAAGCCATAGGCGACCCTATTCCACAGCCAAGGCTACGACTTAGCAGGCGCGCCCGAGCTACTCCTAAGGGCGAGGCTAACCGACACTTTTATTAGCAATAAGCTCTGCCTTCTTCTGATTATCTGGAGATTTGAGGTCACATAATCACCCTCCTCCACGTCACAGGGTGGACGGGGGGAGGAGGAGGGAGTCAGCTAAGAGGCCCAAATCCCTTCTAACACTTGCTTCTTCCCAGATCAGCAAGGTTAGGAGTGGGTCCCCAGCTCCAGCCGCGTGCTGCCAGCGGCGCCCCGCGCGCGCACAATGCCCACGGACAGACGCTAGGCACCCTTGCCAGTCAGCAGGGGCCCACCCGGGGTGGGGCTGAGGGGGGCAGGGCGTCGGATTTCGGGTGCCATGCTGAAACAGAGCAGTGAGAGGAGGCGATCGTGGAGCTACAAACCCTGGGGTCACCCCGAGAGCGACGAGGGACCCGATGCCACCCCGAGTGGCCAACTCCAGCACCGCCAGAGCATCTGTTCTCTGGGGACTCGAACTAACTCCCAGGCTAGCATTGTGCCCTGGTCAGAGGGCAACTACAACTACTACATTGAGGAGGATGAGGATGGGGAAGAGGAGGAGGAGTGGAAGGATGAGCTGGCGGAGGAGGAGGAGGCGGAGGAGCTGAAAGACAGCAGCACGGCCCAGCCCCACGGCCCCACCGACACCCCGGTCCAACTGTCCACGCTCAGGGTGAACGTGGGTGGCCACAGCTACCGGCTGGATTACAGCGAGCTGGCTTGCTACCCCAAGACCCGCCTGGGTCGCCTGGTCACCTCCACCAGCCGCAGTCGCCAGCTGGGCCTGTGCGATGAGTACGAGGCCCAGAGCGACGAGTACTTCTTCGACCGCGATCCCGCCGTCTTCCAGCTCATCTACAACTTCTACACGTCCGGGGTGCTGTTGGTGCGCGACGAGCTGTGTCCACGGTGCTTCCTGGAGGAGCTGGGATACTGGGGGGTGCGGCTCAAGTACACCCCGCGCTGCTGCCGCATCTGCTTCGAGGAGCGGCGGGACGAGCTGAGCGACCAGCTCAAGATCCAGCGCGAGCTGCGCGCCCAGGCGCAGGCCGAGGAGGCCGAGGAGCTCTTCCGGGACCTGCGCTTCTACGGCCCGCAGCGCCGCCGCCTCTGGAACCTGATGGAGAAGCCGTTCTCCTCGGTGGCGGCCAAGGCCATGGGGGTGGCCTCCAACCTCTTCGTGCTCATCTCCGTGGTGGCGCTGGCGCTCAACACAGTGGAGGAGATGCAGCATCGGGCGGAGCAGGGCCGAGGGGGAGGCGACCCGCGGCCCATCCTGGAACACGTGGAGATGCTGTGCGTGGCCTTCTTCACGCTCGAGTTCCTGCTGCGCCTGGCCTCCACCCCGGATCTGCGACGCTTCGCCCGCAGCGCGCTCAACCTGGTGGATCTGGTGGCCATCCTGCCCTTCTACCTGCAGCTGCTGCTCGAATGCTTCACCGGGGAGGACCAGCGCCACGGCCAGGGCTCGTCGCTGGAGCACGATCTGGAGACGGTGGGCCGCGTGGGCAAGGTGGGCCAGGTGCTGCGCATCATGCGGCTCATGCGCATCTTCCGCATCCTCAAGCTGGCGCGCCACTCCACGGGGCTGCGCGCCTTCGGCTTCACGCTGCGCCAGTGCTACCAGCAGGTGGGCTGCCTCATGCTCTTCATCACCATGGGCATCTTTGCCTTCTCCGCGGCCGTCTACTCCGTGGAGCACGACGTGCCCGGCACCAACTTCACCAGCATCCTGCACGCCTGGTGGTGGGCCGCGGTGAGTAGCCAAGGGGTCCCCCTGCTTCACGCACACACACACACACACACACACACACACACACACACACACACACACAATTTTATTTTGTTTTTGCAGTACTGGGGTTTGAATCTGAGGCCTCAAACAGGCTAAGCAAGTACTGTTTCTTGAGTCATGGCCCCCAGCCCTTTGTTTATAGTTTTTGCTTTTAGATACGGTGTCATTAACTTTGTTAAGCTGGCCTCAAATTCCTAATCCTCTGCCTCTGCCTCCTGAATAGCTGGGATTACAACCACACTCAGCCATACAACTGAATATTTTCTTAACTATTCCAGAGCTGTAGCCCTGTGGAATCTGCATCCCATGGAAGAAAGAGATTGCCAAATCATGCTGCTGTGCACTTAGTACTTCAAAGACAACTTCAAATGTGACTTGCTTTTAATGATCTTCCTTCTATAATTTATTTATCTTCTATAATTTATCTCAGGGTTCTGTGATCACCATTTCTTCCAAGAAGGCAAGCAGGGAACGGCTTTGAGTGTGGAAGGGCACTGTACATTTGTGTAGGTAATGAGGCACGATGATCCTAATGGAAACCCCCTCGCTTCTGGTTCTAGGTAAATCTGACTGTGGGAAGAATTAACTGTATAATGGAGTTAAACTAATTCTAACATTAACGTTCTTTTGGGACTGGTTATGATTGTCCTACTTTATAGCCAGACAAATTGAGTTTGAGTGCAGACACACAGCTAAGTACAGTAGATCCCAGATTAAAATCCAAGTGTGTCCAACTGCAAAGTTCATCCCCTGTTCATATTCCAGCACCGCTCCGTCAGACTTTTGCATACCTTGCCTAATTTGTGCAGTTAACATATTCGTTATTTTTGCCGTCTTTCCCCTTCGGAGTTTGCTCTTTTATAATAACGCAGGACATATTACTCAAATACCTACATTTCTGGTATATTAAACAAATCCCTGGCAGTAAATACCAACTGCATCCTCTCAGATCAGTGAGTCAGATGGCATCTAGAGGAATTGTATTCTTTATTTTTTTTTAAGGTGGATTGTATATACTTTAAAGGCATCAAGCAAATATAAAAAGGAAGTAGACACACACTCACACACACACACACACACACACACACATTAACATTGAGCATATTGGAACCCATAGTCTGGTAGGAAATTCTGATGCAAATCAACCTGACTAGCTAAATATAGTGCGGCATGAGTGCACTGGGTTCTAGTGTGAATATGAAATGACTCCATCCTTTTCTGTCCTCGGTTTCCGTAGGTTGGATTGCCAAACTTTGTATTCAATGAGTCCTTCCTGTGAAAGCAGAGTTCACATGTATACTAGGACTCGGGAGCTTTCTTCAATGACAGGCTGGCATGAGGCTCTTCCAAATGAGCTAGCCAAATGCTTCTCCCCTGATCATATTCCAAGTGGCGAAAGGTCATCGTCATAGTAGATAAACCATGTGTACAGATGGAGCTCTTGGAGGCTGATCTGTCCCAGCAAATGACATTTACTTTGGAGGTGACTTAAACAGGAAGGCAAATGAGCAAATCCACATGCTGATGATATAATACAAAGTTTTAGGAGTCAAAATTTTTATCTAGCTAAACGTATTAAAAGACTAGCATAGGCAAGCATTGGACCAAGTGGATGGACTCTTTCATGCTTGTTTTAACAGGTAGCACTTGTTTTAACCTTTAATGTATTTATATTTATATTTATACCTTATCCGAATTGTTATTTATAGACTTCCTCAAGTTAATGACCACTGATCTACTTTTTCTCCTAAGCTGCTCAACTGCAGTGAAGTGGACAACTTCCAAGTTGTCCGTTTTTGCCACCTGTCATCTTTTATTCAAACTTAAAGGTTCTATCAATTCCACAACACAAGGTAAATCACCATTCTTTTTTTCCTACTCTATAACAAATTTTTACCAAGGATGGCTTTTTACCAGTGGTGAGGGTTTTCACTTTTCTTTGGTAGCCATTATCTCTATTAAATGCTATTTTCGCTGACCACCTTTGCATTTGCTGGCTCTTCCACTGACTTTTGTCCACTTTATTCTGCGATTCAGCAGAATGACGGTGTAGATAAATGATGGATAAGTTATTGGTTTTCTAAGCAAATCTATGTACACACTAGAAGCAATACTCCCTTGAATATGCTAATGCTCTTCTAGTCCCTACAACTGATGTTCTACATCCAGATCTTCTTTTTTTTTTTTTTTTTGTCGGTCATGGGGCTTGATCTCTAGGCTTGGGCGCTGTCCCTGTGCTCTTCAGCTAAAGGCAAGCGCTCTACCTCTTGAGCCACAGTGCCACTTCCGGTTTTGTAGTGGTTTATTGGAGATAAGAGTCTCATGGACTTTCCTTGCCCGGGCTGGCTTTGAACTGTGATCCTTAGATCTCAGCCTCCTGAGTAGCTAGGATTACAGGCGTGAGCCACCGACGCCCAGCTCCAGATCTTCTTTGTACTTCCAATTACTTGGTACAGTGTGTCCTGGGGCATCCTAAGAAGGCATTTTACCACTGAGTCACATCCTCAGTTCCAAACTGTGATAGCATTTGAATGATGAAAAGAAACTGATCTGAACACACTAGACTAAACACACATTAGAATCTGAGAAATGGAATCCTAAAAGTAACTGGAGCCACTGGTCTCCAAGTATTATATTAATCATACACATTGTAAGTATTTTCTTTTAGCCTAAACCCAAGATAACTATGTATTCAAGTTAGAAGCCAGTGACTTATGCCTGTAATTCTAATCACTGAGGTGACTTAGATCCAGAGTAGCACAGTTTGAAGTTCACATTGGAAGAAAAGTCTACTACACTCCATCACTAAAATAGCCAGAGAAAAGCAGGGCTGGAGATACAGCTTAAGTGGTAGAGCTCTAGCTGAGCAAGCAAACTAGGTAAGTACAAGGCTCCGAGTTCAAGTTCTAATATAACTTTTTAAAGGTGTATTTTGTATTTTGGAACTAATTTGTAAGCTATTTATGTATTTATTTATTTGTTTTGTTGGTCATGGGACTTGAACTCTGGGCCTGGGTGCTGTCCCTGAGCTCTTCAGCTCAAGGCTAGTGCTCTACCTTTTGAGCCACAGCACCACTTCCTGTAAGTTATTTATTGACACAATAATGATCACAAACCTCCCTAAAACTCAGTGGCATAAAATATCAAACAATCATGTTAGCACGTGAGTATAAAAATGAGTAGTCTAGTCTGGTTTTAACTGGAAAGTTGTTCTTATTGGCTGTCTGTCTTTCTCTTCACTGAGGGTCATCTGGATAACAGGTGGAATGAGGGGGGTTGGACTCCGGGCTCCACGTCCCTCAGCTTCCTACAGGCATGCATTCATGAGAGACAGAGACAGAGAGAGACAGAGACAGAAACAGAGACAGAGAGAAAGCTTAATCACTGAAGCACCCGTATCCCTTCTGTCCATATTTGCTTAACCCCAAAGCAAGTCACATGACCACACTCCATCAAGAGTTTAGACGTGTGAGCCCATTTGCAACAGGCAAACAGGATTAGTTCTATGCCAAATACCTTGCCTACAGGACAATATAAAGAATTAAGTCCAATAATACAGTTACTCAAATATGCAATACCCATCAGTAAATTCAGATCATTTCAAGATAAGGTACAGAAAAACCTTACACACACACACACACACACACACACACACACAATTTTATTTTGTTTTTGCAGTACTGGGGTTTGAATCTGAGGCCTCAAACAGGCTAAGCAAATACTGTTTCTTGAGTCATGGCCCCCAGCCCTTTGTTTATAGTTTTTGCTTTTAGATACGGTGTCATTAACTTTGTTAAGCTGGCCTCAAATTCCTAATCCTGTGCCTCTGACTCCTGAATAGCTGGGATTATAACCACACTCAGCCATACAACTGAATATTTTCTTTACTATTCCAGAGCTGTAGCCCTGTGGAATCTGCATCCCATGGAAGAAAGAGATTGCCAAATCATGCTGCTGTGCACTTAGTACTTCAAAGACAACTTCAAATGTGACTTGCTTTTAATGATCTTCCTTCTATAATTTATTTAATTTATCTTCTATAATTTATCTCAGGGTTCTATGGCTGCAAAAAGAATCCCTGATTGGAACCTCCCCTCCATTTTGTGTGTGTGCTGGTACTGTGGCTTGAACACAGGGCCTTTTACTGTCCCTTAACTTTTTCACTCAAGGCTGGCATTCTACCACTTGAACCATGCCGCTACTTGCAGCTTTTTGCTGTTTAATTGGACATAAGAGTCTCATAGACTTTCCTGCCTGGGTTGGCTTTGAGCCAAGATTCTCAGTAGCTTCAGTTACAGATGTGAGTCATAAGCTTCCAGCTAGACCTATCTTATTCATCTGCCAAACAGAGGCTGTTTGCAGGCACTGATATAATAAGAAACCTGTAAAATAGTAGCCTGTAGTAAGTCTGAAATACATAGCAGCTACAATATTTGATTCATTGATGGTCTTTATCATGTGGAAGGAATGTTGCTTCCAGATTCATTTGTGGAGACATTAATCAGAAGTTATTTCTTCTCTACTGGGGAAAATTTTTTGAAAAGATCTTGAGTTTGAGGCAGTTCTGGACTACATATAGAGAGACCCTCTCTGTATGAAAGAGAGAGAGAGAGAGAAAGAAAGAGAAAGAGAGAAAAAGAGAAAGAGAGAGAGAAAGAGAGAAAGAAGGAAAGAAAGAAACAAACAAAAAAGGGATAAAAGGCAGAGCGATAAAAAGAGACAGGAAAGAAGGAAAGGGAAGGAAGGAAGGAAGGAAGGAAGGAAGGAAGGAAGGAAGGAAGGAAGGAAGGAAGGAAGGAAGGAAGGAAGGTCAGACCTCTTTCTTGGTGTGTGTGTGGGGGCACACCTTTCATCTGTCACTAACCTCATCTATTATAGCCAATACAAACTTTGGGGGTGGGGGAGGCAAGGCTCTGGCATGGGGCTTGAACTCAGGGCCTGGGCAGTGTCCTTGAACTCTTTTGCTCCAGGCTAGCACTCTACCACTTTGAGCCACAAAGCCATAAAGACTGTCTCTTTATGCAGTCCAGGCGAGCCTCAAACTCAAGATCTCCCTACCTCCACCCACGCAGAGTTGAGACTACAGGTGTACACCATGAACCCTCCTCCTCCTCTCCCCATCGACAACACAGGTACACGGGAGCACACTCAGACATTGAGCTTAACCTAGATGTAACTTCTCACACTCTCTCCTCACTCTTTCAACTAGAAGGTGAGCAAAGGACCTTCTCTGCCAGAGCCAGCACCTTGCCTCAGCCTCCTTTTCCTCGTATTTGACAGCACTGGGTTGAGACTTGTTCTGGCATCGGTATATCCCATGATATATGTTAAGTTCCTGGCGGAGTGAGTGCTCATTCAATGCTGGTCTTTGCTTTCCTTCTGCTGGGGCCATCTTGGAGCGAGGGGCCCTGCATGATCCCTGCACGTCACAGTATGGCTTCTTCACCCTGTGCCAGGCATTCCTTCATTCCTGTAACAATCTCTCCAGCCAGTTACCGTTATTCTCCTCCCATGTCAAAAATAGAAGTAGAGGCAAAGAAAATTGCTCAACTCCCACGGCTAGGAAGCAGAGCACGCAGTAGTATAGTGCAGAGCACGCTCCTTTCTTGGCCATGCTTTGCTCTTTGCTTCTGTTCTTCCACTGCAGGAAAATGCACCTCCCCACCCCCACCTGCAGCATGTCTTTTGCCAGGGATGGAGCCCTGAGCCTTACTTGTTCCAAAGAGGAAGTCCATCTTTCCCTTTTTATGGGCTGGTTGGATCTGTAATTCTTATCCACACCACCAGATTTGCCCAGCTGGTTCGTTCCTCCATTTCATTCTAATCAACCATTCTTGTAAGTTCAAACTATCCTTTGTATCATGAAAACAGGTGTTTCCATCCATTTCTGAGCAAAAGGCCACCGAAGGTTGGGGGGGGGGGGGGGAGACAGGGGGAGGGGGTGGCATTATCTGACTACTGCCATCTGCTGGAAGATGGTGGCAATAACCATAAAAATCCATGGAGCAATGATTGCCCCCTAGAGTTGTGCTATGCAAAATATTTACAAGCTTGCTTGCTTCAGCCGCACATATACAAAATATTTACAAGTATAAACAACTGCCTTACTTCAGAAGCTTCTAGCAACAAAGCCAGTAATCTCCGGACCACTTCTTTTTTTCTATGAAGCATAACTAACAGTCCCCAGGGGTATTCCTAGGGTTGGTTCTGGCTGTGATAGCTAATAACTAGTCCCTGGGGGATCTGCGTTCTAAAACAGAAGGTTGTTAACCTAAATAAATCTCTAATTAGTGGAATTTAAAGCAGTGTGACAAGAATGGCGGAAATAATTTAATACAGGTTGTAGTTATTTTGGGTTAGCGAGGTCTTCAACAAGTCTCTTCACAAAATAACGAAAGCGTTTGTTTTTGCAGACATCTGCAATTATGCACTCTTGATGAAAATCAAAAATCTCACTTGAACCATAACAAGTCTGAGAAAGGTTATAATTGGCCCTCTTTCAAAGACGAGAGAAAAAGAATGCAGGGGTTTAATGCTATGTGCATGTGTGCCTGTCTTGAGTGCTTTATATTCCTTTTAAAATTAGTCTTCACAAGAATCCCGAGACTTACAGGGCGGTTTCCTATTTTAAATGAAGAAACTAAGGCTTTGAGGGTATCCTATGGGCTTTGGGGTTGTTTTTGTCCTAGGTCTTCCAGCTGGGATGGGCCAGAGACTGGACTTGAACTTTGTTCTGTCTCTGAGCCTGAGGTTTTGCTACTATATAGAGGATGCAGGACAATCCAGGAAGCCCTTGATCTGAGCCTCATCCCAGCTGGGTGGAGCTGAGGAGATACAGAGCAAAGTTCACTGAACACATTCTAATACCGGGAACTCAACATACATCATCATAGGTGTTCTTTACATCAACCATTTAATGTGGAGATATTTTTAATTTGCTTTACTGTTATTATTAGAGAGATGATGGACAGAGGGATTACTATCACTCGAGTCAGGTAATGAGTACATTGCCTTTCCTTTTTCACAATGTGTCCCTCATTCTCTCCCAATTCCTCCCACCCGTCTCCACCCACAAGTTGTATCGTTCACTTTCATCGATGAACGTGAGCTCTACGATTTTCCCCTTGAGTTCTGTACCCTCTGCCTCCCACCCTCCTGAAGATGTGCTACTGAATACACCATCTATAAAGTAAAGAAGACAGAATCACCAAAACCTAACCAAAAAGGGGGCAGGGGGGAGAGAAGTATCCTGCTTCCATATCTTGGAGTCTGTTTCAGTATGTCTATTATTTATTTCTCCCATGTTGCATCGAAGAACATGGATGAATCATACTCAGGATGTAAACCAAAGCCTTGCAGCTTTACTGCTTACACTATTTCCTCGACACAGTCCTCCAGGGAGACTTTCTAGTATGTTCTCAAGCTGGCTTCCCAGGCATCGTCACGCTTGTGCTGTGCACCTGCAGGGAGCTAGAGACCACTTTCCTGCCTGCCTCTCTCCCTTTGTTCTCCCTCGAGTACTGACTCTCTCGCCCTTCCGTGTCTCCTGTGCAGGTGAGCATCTCCACTGTGGGCTACGGAGACATGTACCCAGAGACCCACCTGGGCAGGCTCTTTGCCTTCTTCTGCATTGCTTTCGGGATCATTCTCAATGGTATGCCCATTTCCATCCTCTACAACAAGTTCTCCGATTACTACAGCAAGCTCAAAGCTTATGAATACACCGCCATACGTCGAGAGAGGGGAAAGGTGAACTTCACACAGAGAGCCAGAAAGAAAATGGCTGAGTGCCTGGCTAGAAGCAACACACTGTCTACCACAAGGCAAGAGAATTGATCTTCATGGAACACGTATGTGCTGACAGATCCCACAAACTTCAAAAAGAAAAAGAGATTTTGTTTTTTTAAAGGATGCATGCTGTCAGCACTTTTTGGCACAGTGGATCCTAGAACAATATTATGCAAGCATATAACAAATATAGGAAGTATATCTAGCTAAGGCTTTTTCTGGAATAAACAGAGTTGTGCCATCAGCCTCCTGTCCACCTCCTTCATCATCCCCTCGCCCCTTGGACCCCTGCTCGTATTGTGGTTGGACCACGGCAAAAAATGTAGAGCACCTGTCTAGCAAGTGTAAGTCCCTGAGTTCAAACCCCAGAGCTACCAGAAAAAAACGTTATCACAACCAGCAGCAGAAGGATCATGAAGCAGCAATACACTAAGGGAACTCAGTTCACAAAGTTCTTCCTTTAGAAAGGGGCATTTGGGGCCCAAATCAGAGTACCTTGTATTACTCTATAACAGGTTCGCACATGATGTTAGTTCTAAAAATGCTTCACTGGAACTTCTTGGATTCTCAGATAGCTTCTTGGGGCAGCTGGCTCAATACACACTTTTGGACTTGAGTTCACATGAGAAGAATTCCCTTCATTTGAAAGAGAAAAGAATCTTAATTGTCCAAAGAGACAGAGTGTTACCTAAAGCAAGGAGTTGGAGGTGGGCAAACTTCTCACTCAGAATCCAAGGTGCCTTGATTATATGGTTTAAAGCCAGTTACTATGACCCTCGGAGCCTCAGTTTCCCCCGTTTTAAAATATACATCATAACACCTACCTATAATAGGAATATGGGCACCAGACATAGTATTTGTAAATGTTCAATAAATGATAGCTGTTAAAATTATTTGGCTGCTAGCTAACAGATTTTTCTGGACCAGTGATTCTCAACCAAGGGCAATTTTGCTCCAAAGGGGACATTTGGCAATGACTTTTTGTCACTACTATGGGGAGGAAAGGGGGGAAGGGGTGCCTGGCATCTGATAGCTGAGGCCTTAAATGTTGCTGTACAGAACTTCCCCCAAACAGCAAATTCTCTGACTCAAAATGTGAGTAGTGTCCAAGTTGAGGAGCTTTGATCTAGACATAGTATAGGACCCTTACCTTGACCTAAGGTATGGGCCCTGTGTGTAGAATTTCACCCTCTCTTTCTCTCCTTTCTACCAAGAGGGGAAATATTCAGACCTCCCTTCTGAACAAGTGCTCTGAGCTAGCACTGAACAAAAGCCCTAGCTCTGGGCTGTGGGCTGAGAAGCCGAAGTCTCCAGAGCATGGGTCATATCTCTCCCTGCATCTTTTCCTCTTCATCCCTTTCTCTCTCCTGAGGGCTGTTGGAAATGGAAGTTTTGAAATGAAAGGCTTCATTCAAACAGGTACACAGTATTTGCCCCTGCTCGAGCTTGCTATACTGATCCTCGTATTCATCTCAGGGTATGACAGGAGCCTTACCTGTGTCATAAACAAGAGTAATCATTGAAGCCAGGTGCCAGCAGCTCACACCTGCAATCCTAGTAGTCTGGAGGCTGAGACTTGAGAATCTCAGTGTGAGGCCAGCTCTGGTAGAAAAGTCTGTAAGACTCTTATCTCCAGTTAATCACACACACACACAAAAAGCCAGAAGTGGCAATGTGGCTCAAGTGGTAGAGGCTAGCCTTCAGGGCAAAAAGCTAAGGATCAGCACACAAAAAAGCTTATGAGCCAGGTGCTGGTGGCTCACACCTGTAATCCCAGCTATTCAGGAGGAGGTTCAAAGCCAGCCCAGGAAGGAAAATCCATGAAATTGTTATCCCCAATTAACCACCAGAAAACCAGAAGTGGAGTTGTGGCTCAAAGTGATAGAGCAATACCCTTAAGAGCTAAGGGTCAGCTCCCAGGCTCTGAGTTCAAACCCCACCACAGACGAAAAAGAAAAAAGAAAAAGCTAAGGGACTGAGTTCAAGCCCCAGTATTGGCACATAAACACACACATACACACACATAAACAAACACACAAACATGTGCCCATAGATGGGCATTGTGGAGTATATGTATAGTACATAACTTCACTTAATCCTCAACACATCCCCAATGAGATGATATATTCCTGATTTGGGTTTTGGAAGAAATGGACACAGAGAAGTTAGTAATTCAGCTGTGTTCCCCCAGCCTAGGGTGGGGGCTGAGCATCAGACCCAGGTCTGGCTGGTCCTCAAGACTGTTGCGCAGAGTCTGCAGTTTTGGCTCTCAGACTTCAACAGCACCATCCACAGGGCTGTCAGACCAGAGTGCCAGGCCTACCCTAAGGTACCCGAGTAAGTAGGTCTGGTGAAGTGGGAGGATTTGTATGGCCATTTGCCGATTGTACTGGGTCTAGGCTGGGGCAGGGAGCACATTTGGAGAGTCCCAGTTTATATCAGTTCACTCTGCCCCTCCCATGAGAGGGTACAGTGATCAAACCAGGCTTCATCAAAGTCTCTCTCCCCACCTACAGCTGCAAGGTTGCTAAATAAAATCGAAGAGGTCAAGGTATCTCAGCTGCTTTATGCTGCTGTCACGGAATGCTGCAAACTGGGTAATGCATCAAGAACAGAGATGCGTATTCCCCATCGCTCTGGAGGCCAGCACTTCAAGGTCACGATGCCAGCATGATGGGTGTGCGTCATTCTCCGGTGCCAAGTATTACCCCCCTGGCCGTATCCTCCAGAAGAAAAGACGAGTTGGCGAAGGACAGGTTCACTGGGCACTGCTGAAGCCTCTTTGAGGAGCCTTGATTCCATTCACAAGGGAGAAGCCTCAAGCCCTAATTGTCTCTTAAATATCCTTAATACTACCGCATTGCAGCACTTGAGTTTGGGAAAGAGCCTGTGCAAATCATACCAACAGCGAATGCTGAGTTTCAAATCTACAGTCACTTCTAGTATATTAAAAAAAATTGTTGCCTATCTGAAATTCAAATTTATCGAGTACTACCTTTTCCTTGGCTAAATATGGCAACCCAATGCAATTGCTTTTTAAAGGCACAGTGTGCTTGGATGGATGAAATTACCCCTATGTCCTAAAACCCCACCCATCCGCAAACAACAGGCCTTGCAACCATGGCAAGACAGTTTTCTCTTGCCAAATAAAAGAGGGAGGAAAGCCAGGTGGCTCACACCCATAATCCTAGCTACTCAGGAGGCTGAGATCTGAGGATTTGGGTTTCAAAGCCTGCCTGGGCAGGAACATCTAAGAGACTCTTATTTCCAAATAACCACAAGGAAACTTGAAGTGGTGCTATGGCTCAAAGTGGTAAAGCACTAGCCTTGAGCAGAAGAGCTCAGGGACGGCTCCCAGGTCCCAAGTTCAAGCCCTATGATGGACAAATAAAAAATAAAGGAGGAGGAATTCCCAAGCCAAGAGAATCATGCAGTTATACAACATCAGAGCCCCAGGTTAGGTCATGTAACCAGTGATCTATCCACTGGCAGCCTTTCTACACCTTCTGACACCTCAGATCCATTGATGGAGTGTAGCTTCTGGGCCTTCCCAGGGCTCCAGGCCTAGAGGGAATGGCCCAAACCTTCTATCTCAAAAGGAGAATAGGAGTAGGATTAGGAAGACTAGAGAGAGGGCTTCATGAGGTCTTGATACAGAGATTGGCTTTTCCAGCTTCCTGGAGTGGGATTTAGTAAAATGGCAACAGGCCTCCACTCCAGTCTCACCGGCCACATCTGCTCAGACAGCTGTGCAGCGTCTCCCTGGTCTGTACAGCTGGCAGACGGAATGGAGTTAAACCACAAAGAGCATTTCCTGAGCCTCCCTGTGCACCAGAACTAACATTATTTCACCTAATCCTTCAATGCCTCTGGTTTCCAGGTGGTCACTTAGAGAGGTCTAGCCATGTTGAACTTGGTCCGGATTTTTTTTTTTATTGTGAAAATACTGTACAGAGGGTTTCAATTACATGGGCAAGATAATGAGTACATTTCTTATCAAGCATTGTTGCCTCCTCCTTTGTTTCCCCTTCCCATCCCTTCCCATTCTCCCTCTGCCCCCCCACCCAATCCTCCCTCCCTCCCCCCCTCCCTGCACCAAAGTTGTAAAGTTCATTTTAGACATAACGACTTGTACATCTCATTGTTGCAATGGGTCCACCTGTATCCCTATTTAAACGATTTGTTTTCCTTCCCCTACACAAATTATACCAACATCAAATACAGTGAAAGCAGGGGTTATACTGTGGGGGAGGGACATACAAAGCAACAAAGAAATCATCTTATAAATGTGTTAGAAACAATCACATGAAAGAAAAAAACATTTGAATACATATCTTAGGGTTCATTTCCCTAACATCACCTTATCTGACCTTTTCTGCTTGACTCATACATATACTAGATATTGCAAATAAAGGAAAACATGGGATTTATGTTTCTTTGGGCCTGGCTTACTTCACTTAATATAATTTTTCCAAGTCTTTCCATTTCCTAACAAATGTGGCAATGTCATTCTTTCTGATGGAGGCATAGAATTCCATTGTGTATACATACCACATTTTCTTGATCCATTCATCTGCTGAGGGGCATCTGGGTTGGTTCCATATCTTAGCTATAGTAAATAGTGCTGTCCAGATTTTAAACCTGGCTCTGCCATTTAACTGTGAAGTTGAACTAGGTGAACCAATTGCCATTTTCAGCCAAAGCAGCCAAATCCTGGAAAGTGTACATAACCTGGTTAATTATGTCTCTGGGGCCCAATGTCTCTGAGCCTGTTTCTGCTTGCAAATGATCGTGGTGTCTTCCTCCGAATGGCCACAGGGATTAAATGACATGGTATCTCTATTCGAAACTTTTAGCATAGCGTTTGGCCTATGTGAAGTACTCAAGAGATTTCTGTAGTGACATAAATATCCTCTGATATTTTGGCTACGATTAGCCGCCAGACTGGGTAGCTATTCAACACGGGAAATGCAAAGAATATGACTCAGGAGCATATTTTTATGTATGTAACTTTAATGAGATTCATTTTCAATTTAAATAAGCACATG